TTTTTTTTTTAATTTTTCTTCTTTATTAATGAAAAAGAGCCAGGTAGTTTTAAGGTGTGAATCTTGTGTGGTAATGGTGGGAACTTCTAAACCTTTTATTCTGAAGTGTAAAGCCTGATTATATCATGGTTTAGTTCTGCCTTTACAGTGATAAATCAAGTCCTGAAGAAGCTGCTTATTTATCAGTCAAACTGAAAACCTGTAATATGTTCTACTACACACACAATCTCTAATTCTGTTACCATTTTTCCCCTTTTAGGAGCCATTTTTATCATTGAGAACCTGGATTATGAAGTTTCCCATGAGTATTACTTGACAGTAGAAGCCACAGATGGAGGAACACCTTCATTAAGTGATGTGGTAACCGTGAATATTAATGTAACAGATATCAATGACAACACTCCTGTGTTTAGCCAAGACACTTACACTGCAGTAATCAGCGAAGATGCTATCCTTGAACAGTCAGTCATTACGGTAGGTATTCTCATCAGCTTTTCCCTTGAAATACTCTGTTATAGCTATCATTCTTTCAGTCATGGAGGAATAAGTATTAATTTGAAGACATGCATAAATGTGTGGATAAATTTACCACCAAGTGAACTGGAAAAGTTTCAGAACCAGAGACACGATGCGCTTTGGGCAAGCGCGCAGTATGGCGTGGTGTGTATTCAGCTCACGAGAACATGACTTCATTTTCAGAAGGAATTCAGGAAATGAGTTAGGTGGCGAATATTATGATGTTCCTCCTGAGAACTCTGTAATTTTACCGGGTCTGAAACAGCTGTGCTTGTTTTCAGGATGCCTTTATTAGCAACATTAAGAGTGTCTGTCTAGACCTGTTTTAAATGAGCCTGTAATGTCCCGTAGGTTATGGCGGATGATGCCGATGGACCTTCAAACAACCACATTCACTACTCAATTATAGATGGCAATCAGGGAAATCCTTTTACAATTGACCGTACCAGTGGTGAAATAAAAGTGACTAAACTTTTGGACAGAGAAAAAGTAAGTTTGGGATACTTTATGAGCAGTTGGGATTAATCTAGTTATAAGTAATTAAAAGCTTACACATTTTTGGGGGTCATATTTGTAAAGTATTGTTTCAAATATTCCCCAACAAAGTGAAAGCAACTATTTATGGCAGTGTTGAGGGTGTGGGGGGGTCATACTTGGAGATATATACGTTTATGAACTTAAGCCTTACTGGAGATTTGCACAAAAATCTTTCTTTCTCAAAAGAAAAGCTAAGTTTGTTRCTGTTTCTTTGTTCCAGAGTGAATCTGTGGATTGTATTATTTATTTGTTTATTTGCAGATTTCAGGCTACACCTTGACAGTTCAAGCTTCAGATAATGGAAACCCACCCAGACTTAACACGACTACAGTTAATATTGATGTTTCTGATGTAAATGACAATCCACCAGTATTCTCTAAGGGAAACTATAGTGTCATCATCCAGGTAAACTTAAATATAGATGTTAAAGTTTTAGTAATCAAATTAATATTACTTGAGTGTTAAATTTGACTTGAAAAAGTAGACAAATGGTGAAAAGCCTTCATTGCTTCCACTTTATTTTGCTTTACTTCTTTTTAATTACTCAAGATTGTCAGTGARACTGTTTCTCTGAGTTAATGCTGAGAGTTACAGATTCCATACTGTGCAGTCTATTTAGAAACTGYGGTTGCAAGGAGTGTCTGTTCCTTTTCTGGATGTGGTTTGTGTGTGTGTATATGCATTGCATTTGTGTTTATAACGTCCTTAACATCATGCAGCTAGGTTAAAATACTTGATAGTCTGGCTGTTCTGTTAACCATAGAGTTCTGCTTAGAGAAGATGCTTTACCTGCCTCCTRCTGCGATGCAAGTATTCTGCACATAGTTCAGGCTTTGATTCACATTGGCCTCCTCTGGTACCAGAAGCAGCAGAAGCAGGAGGATAGTGTTTCATATTGCTGCATTCTGACTTCAGCTGCAGGACCTGAGCATTAACTTTGTAGAAGTTTACCTGCGTACTTCCCCAAGAACAGAGTATGCTTATTATTGGCAGTCTCTGCAACTGTGAAAGGATAGTCTTTTATTATAATTCATAATAACATTTTAAAATGATAAAAAACGTCAATGCAGTGTAACACAAACGTTCTAGGAAAAAACATTGCGTGTTAGGGGAATGTGTGTGTATCAAATGCATGATAACCTATGTGTATCAAGTGGCTGTGAAACCTCTGGCATCCACAGAATGCAGACTTGAAGAGGTTTTGTGAAATAAATTTTAAAATCTGCCTTTCATGTCTTAACCAGACTGTGGCTGTAGTCAGAACACTAATTAAGGGTGTGGGAGGCAGATGGAGGAGTGTGTTTTTCTAGTCCTCCCAACAAAGGCAATGGATTATTCTTAATAAGTATCTTAGTTAAATTTGAAAGCTGTGATGACTCAGTAATGAATCTGCTGTAACCTTATTTCAGACCATTGGTGAAAAATAAAAAGTTTTAAGGCTGAACTACTTTAGAAAAATGTAAGAGAAAGCTTAAAGAAATACTGCCTTTTACTGTTTCCATCATTATTCACACAGATTAGCATTTTCCTTAAAACAGTATTGTCATTAGGATTTTACTTACACCGGTTAACTGGTTTGATGGTGATTTAATTTTAGTATTTTTTTCCTGTGGTAAAAAAGAAATCATCATCAAGCTCTATCTCTAATTATAACAAAACCACTGCAATCATATTATGCATTTACAGGAAAACAAGCCTATTGGGTTCAGCGTGCTGCAGCTGGTGGTGACGGACAAGGATTCTTCTCACAACGGCCCTCCTTTTCTCTTCACCATCCTGAGTGGAAATGAAGAGGGCACCTTCCAGATCAGCCATCAGGGAGTGCTGACAACTGCGGCAGCCCTGAATCGCAGAGTGAGGGAGCACTACTTGCTTCACGTGAAGGTGGGACACCCTTCCTCTAGCGGGTTAATGCTGTTAGCATAAGTACTAGGTGACTTTCCCAAGCACTCCTAACAGGTTCCCTGCCGTTCCTTGTTACTTGGAGGATAAGCCCTTGTCGATGCGTTGCCAGATCCTGATGTTCCAAGTAGTGATTTGAGGCATGTTCTTTGTGCTGACATCCGCAAAGGCAAAGCCCACTGGCTTAGATGGAAATGTGCACAGATGTAAAAGTGAGCTTGATTTAACTTGTTGTAAGGATGAGTTGTAAGTAAAATGTTAACAGGCTGAGTGTTCTTGATGAGCCCTTCGCTTGTCATGCACGGTGTATTTTTCAGACTATGCATTTGCTACGCTCTACCATCTACCTGGAAAAGCCAGTGTGGCTCCAGGTCCCCTGAGYCCACTTCTGTTGGCTGTAAACTTCCCATTTTTTTCTACTATTGCACTGACCCTTGAAGCTATAAGCTGGTCTACACTGATGCAGCAGAAAAACAGGTATTAAAAGTTGAACAGCAAGGCAGTATTGAAATACTTTTCTGTAGCACAACCTCCTTTTTCACAGCATCTGAAAATTTATTTCTTTTTGTATTTGGGAAAAACCAATGTCWGTGGAACTTTCATGTCTGATTCTGTCAGACAGTGCATTACCCGTGTGGCTTAGATTTTGCRATGGAAAACACAGCATAGAACTCCCAAATAACCCCAGGAGGCTCTTACATGTCTACACGTGTCATTCTTGTGCAGAATAGACCATGTCGCAAAATCAGTCTTACTAGAGAGTGCATACCTGAGGTCTCTTAAAAATATATATAAATAAAATGTAAAAATATTTTTTACCTTATCCTAAGAAAAGTTCAAACTATTGTTGTGGTTGTTTTATTCTTTTTAAATTATATATAAATATAAGTGGTTCTGAATAGTGGGCTTAAGATGGGAAGGCTAAAAATAGCTGGCCTTAATTCTTAAATGTTGCTTYCAGATCATGTATATAAAGTTACCTTCATTTTTACGAGGATTTACAAGAATTTCTCTCTCAATCTCCAAATGGTTCTCTTAGTATCGCAAACAACTTCTGAGTATGCACATACAGAGTTTTAGAGCAACGCTGTCTGTGCCAGTATATACGGAATTCTGTCTGCGTTTGTCATTTACATGAAGTCTCTCTTTTCTTTGTGGCAGGACRCCCCCCACACCTCACGCACACATGCTGTGATTTACTGTTCTGAGTCACGGAAATCTGATATGAGGGGACAGCAGGATAAGAACAGCATAGATGAAAGCTCCCTCTAAGTGTAGTGTAAGGTTTAAGAATTACGATTAAAAAGGAGGCAGAGGAATAAATCATCCTCCTGCTAGCTATTTTCTTCCCACTGATGATCTAATTAGGTGTGGGACAGATTAACCTTCCAGGTGCCTAAGTGCTGTTTCTACTGGCCCTCATGGCCTGCAGGAGGCCCAGCCAGCAGAGCTGGGCTTTGCAGCACTGGCATCGTAGGCTTGCCAGACTCTAGGTACTGATTCTTTAAAGTCACCTGTTCATTTAGGGAGGAAAATCAGGGACTATTTTTSCTAAAATGTTTATGTGCAACTAGTATAACACAAGACTGATCTGTTTTGTTTTATATTTCCTCAAAACAGTAACCGATTTCTCTGTACTTTGCTTCTAGCACATGTTCCTTTGAATGCACGTAGTCAAATGACTCCTGTTCGGGTGAACTGTGATGATGTCTGTGTCGTCCATCATGAGTTAGCTGCACCCTGGCCCTTCCCTGCCCTGTGATCACTTCAGCTCTCTCCTCTTGTGAAGTGCTTTTTCCTAGGGGATGCAAAGGGATGATGGTGGGAGGTGTTGATGGTTGTGGCACCCAGTAGCTGAACATGCATCTTCAAACAAGTTTACTCACTCTGAATAAGAGCTTCTCGGAGGTCACACATTTCATCAAAGTGAACACATCACTGTCATGCTTTGTGTGTGTGTGTGCACTTTACCAACCATACCCAATATTTTTTTTGCCTGTCTAATCCTTTGATTTACAAGTTCCCTGCCTAGATTCTGGCAATATGTCACTGTCTTAATTGTCACTTGTCATCATTTATTATGATAGCTTTTTAAAGTAGTCACAGTGCTCTAGTTTCCTGCTCTCCTGGCTCGGAAAAGCAACATACAGAATAGGAAGGCATCTGAGACTAAAACTAACATTTCCGTATCACAAGACTTCGGTTTCAATGAAATACTTTAAAAATAGGAAATAGGTACCTGTTTTCTTTAGAACAATATTCTTTTCTGCTTCACCTAAAAAAAAAAAAGTTTCTAGATGTTATAGGAAAACATCTTTTAATGTTTACAATATTTTTGTTTCTGCAGCTTTTTCTTGCACCACACAAGTTAGTGGCCAACAGTCATGGCTGATCTCGTGATATAGGGAGTTTTTGTGATTGTTTTTGTCACTGCCATTCACCAGCAGAGCTGCTAGACCCTCCCAGCTTTCACCTCACCTCCTGGGCAGCAGAGCATGAATCTTTCCTTTCCTTTCCTTTACTTTTATCTTTTTAGGGGAAATAAGGATTTTTTTCTCAAAAGCCACCTACATGTGCACGCCACCCGCTCTCGTTTTCAGCCTGCCTTTCTCTGTAAGGGAATAGATGATCCCATAACAAACGTCTCCAGCATTAGTGTGCAGAATCCTGGCCCATGAGTCATGCAGCCTTTTGTGCTGCTCTCCTGAGTGTCTAGTTTAACATCACGGCAGACTTCTAAGTATCTCCACTGTTGAAAAATAGTTTCTCCTGCTGTTCTTTTTTCCTGCTTGTTGTCCATTTGTTACCCCTTCTCTTCCTGTTTGTTTCAGTCATGCCCGTGTTTTTCTTGGGCATTTTTTCTGTAGCTACATTCCCTGCCTTGTTTCCAGACAGAAATCCAGGCAAAACAAACCTTTGCAAACTGGAGCTCACTCTGTCTGCCGTCTGGGCTACTAGAGGTCAGATTTCCAACCATGCCTGTCTTTTGCCCTAAGTAAACCCATGYAACACCATGAGACATGTTACCTTTCTAAGAAAGCTACGCTTATGCACATCCACAGATAATCACATGCTGGGAGCTGTCTCTTTTGTTTGGATTTCTGTGAAAACTCAAAGGAGCTTTTCTTTATAGACCTGTGAGCGCACAGGCTACCTGCAGCTTTAGTAAAGTCATAAAATCTTTTGAACAGTGTCGGGTATCTTCTCCCTTTTCAGTCCTGCATCCCCTCTTGTCGCCCCACACCCGTTCCCCTTTCTTCTAGGCTCACGGTGAATAGGGACATGGGCAAGAGCTCTGCTGGGAGAGCTGGAGGGGAGTCAGGCACTGAGAAGTCGAAAGAAAGCAAGAAAGTGGCAGGAGGAGGAGGGAAGCCTGTCTCTGCTGCTGCTGTCCTCTCTGCATATGACAGGGAGCCCTTTTGTCAAGGAAGGGTGGAGGAGAGRGGACAAGCAGTTAGAAAGGCTTTGAAATTGAAGTAGATGGGCTGATTCTGTCCAAGATAATTACTTTAATTGTCTGAAGCAAATACCATTGCAGGTTGGGTTGGGGCCGGGGTTGTTTTTCTCTCTCCATGATCACAAATCATGAAAGAKAGAATAATTAATTGCAACTTTCTACATGGACGGCGTTCTTTTTGAAGTAGTYTGGCATACCACATTTTAAATTGTCTTTAACAGGCCATCTCCTAATGAYTATGGTGGCGCATGGCGCAGATTTCTAGGGCATGAGTCACTGACTTTATAATGTGTTTCTATGCTTGAAATTTAAAAAAGCTTCAAGCACCCTCTGCTGTCTGAAGTCAGCTACTGTGCTTTTTTTGCTGCATTTGCTGGAAGCATTAGTAGGCTGCCTTGCRTTTCCAGGCATTGGGAACACGGTACCCATTAATACCTGGAAGAAGAGCAAACTTGTCTGTCTGGGTGTGTGCACCTATGCAAGGTTTCTAAATTTCCAATATTAACGCCCTTAGGACCTGTATTTATGACCTTTTATAAAGTAGTTTTTTCTTTATTTAGAAGAAATACACAGTACTACTGCATACAATGCTGCATGCAATACAAATACCTGCAGTAGAATTTGATGAGATAAAATAAATATTTAACATTATCCTCATCTTCCATCAGGTGGCAGACAATGGAAAACCACAGTTGTCATCTTTGACTTACGTTGACATTAGAGTCATTGAGGAAAGCATTTATTCTCCAGCAATTCTACCACTCGAAATCTTTATTACAGCCTTTGGGGAAGAATATTCTGGTGGTGTCATTGGAAAAGTTCATGCGACTGATCAGGATGTTTATGATACCTTGACCTACAGTCTGGACCCCAAAATGGAATCCCTGTTCTCTGTTTCCAGTACTGGTGGCAAGCTAATAGCGCACAAAAAGTTGGATGTAGGACAATACCTCCTAAATGTCACTGTTACGGATGGAAAATTTACAACCTCAGCTGATATTACGGTGCATATCAGACAAATAACGCAGGATTTGCTAAACCACAGCATTGCAATACGCTTTGCAAACCTTGCCCCTGAAGAATTCATTGGTGATTACTGGCGCAATTTCCAGCGGGCTTTGAGAAACGTACTGGGTGTGAGGAGAAACGACATCCAGATTGTTAGTCTGCAGCCTTCTGATCCGCCTTCCAACCTTGACGTCCTCCTGAACATTGAAAGATCTGGCAGCTCTCAGCACCCTATGAGAATTTTGCTCCACAAGATAAACTCTTCTGTGGCTGACCTGGAGGAGATCTTGGGCGTCCGGATAATTGATGTTTTCCATAAGCTTTGTGCAGGCCTAAACTGCCCTTTGAAATTTTGTGAAGAAAAAGTAACAGTAGATGAGAACATCATGTCAACTCACAGCACAGCCCGCCTGAGTTTTGTCACTCCACGTCATCACAGAACAGCAGTTTGTCTCTGCAAAGGTAAGGAGAGCAGGGCCCTTCAGAAGTATGTCCTGGTCTTCACAGCTGTGGAAAATCAAATGTTACAGGACAAAATTGAAGAATGTTCTGTACCCAGCCCTCCACATTTGCCTTGCTCTATTTGGAGTAAGGAACAGTTCTTATGGCCTCCTTTTAAGAATTTACCCAAAATAAGTTTATGGAAGAGGATTGCTTTATAGTTATTACGCTTTCTTTTTCCAYTTCATGAAGTAAGTTCCTTTTGGTTGTCTGTTGAGTGTTGTCAGTCATTTCCAGTCCTCCATGCAGAAAGCTGTAACAAAGCACCCGAATGTTTCCTGGCTTCTGCCTAGGGGAATTTTGCATGTGGCCTTCACCCYGGGCAGGGAATGACACCTTGAGCTGGGAAATGACCACTCACTGAAATATGCAGAAGTATACAGATGATTACTTGGTCTTTGGTTCTTAGGAAAATACTTGTTTTTTATCATAAAGTAACATTAACATTAGTGGTGAAGTTATCAACTCTTAAGTAAATTTTTAAAGCCAGTTCCTTTTCTGTGTCAAACACAGATTCATCTCCTCCTGTCCCTGATCCTCTTTGCCCATGTCTAATATCTACTTGGATATTTTTTCTTGTTTTTAGGGCAAATGACGGTGATGGCAAAGCTTAAAGCACAGCAGCAGTTTCCAGATTGTCCCAGTCCAATTGTTCAGGCATGTTCCCACTGCAGATAATTGTGGCCATCAGTGACTATCTACTCCATTCTTCTAGTCTGGTTTTTTGCTAGTCATTTTCAGTCACCATCAGTTCCCTTTTTTTTTTGTCTGATACTTAGGACTATAATTTGGTTTGGTGCAACCCAAGATTTTTTTTTTTTTTTTGATTTAGCTACTGTACTTAAGTGTCCCCCTCCACAAAACACCATGACTGCCCACAGAAGAGAAATAACACATTTCATTTTACAGAAGGGAGATGCCCTCTGGTGAACAGCATGTGCGAAGGAAACCCCTGCCCTGAAGGCACTGAATGTCTAGGAGATCCGAAGGAAGGAAAATACTCCTGTGTTTGCCATGACAGCAAAACTGGACAGTGTCCCGGTGAGAAATTTAACTCTGAAGCTCTCTGCATAAAACCCTACTGCTCTCTGAAGATTATTTTGGTTCTAGCCCCGTGTTAATCTTCATGCTTCTCTGTTATCTTAAGCACCAGCTGGATCTGCTGTGACATTTACTGGGAGCAGCTACGTGAAATACCGCCTCCTGGAAAGCGAGAACAAGGAGGAGATGAAGCTCACGATGCGGCTTCGCACGTACTCCGCTCACGCCGTGGTTATGTACGCCCGAGGCACGGACTACAGCATCCTGGAGGTACACTAAGGTCTTCCCCTTCACAGCGCTCCCCCCGTCTTATTGTTACCACCAACCTCATTATTTCGAATGCCAATTTAAAAGATTTAATCATACTATTTTGGTAGACCTCTTTTAACTGAGAATTGCCTTTGAAGTAGTTTGTTATGCACCAAGGTGGCAAACTTCTACWGAACTTTTTAATGTGTGAAAAGAATTTGTTTCCTTTAATTAAAAAGCAGTTCTAAATACTGACTTGACTTGAAGTGTTTGCAATATAATATTAGTAAACTGCTCTTTATGAACACCCCTGGCAGACAAAACTTTTGCAGTATTGCATAGTTTGGGGATTTTCACAGGGACTCTCCTAAGCATGTGGTCCAGCTGATGATGGTGATGGTTTCCTCTGCAGATTCACCATGGAAGGCTGCAGTATAAATTTGACTGTGGCAGCGGGCCCGGGATCGTCTCCGTTCAGAGCATCCCGGTTAACGATGGCCAGTGGCATTCGGTTTCCCTTGAAGTGGACGGGAACTACGCACGGCTTGTCCTGGATAGGGTGCACACGGCATCGGGCACCGCGCCGGGGACGCTGCGCACGCTGAACCTCGACAATCACGTGTTCTTTGGGGGCCACATTCGGCAGCAAGGCACGAGGCACGGCAGGAGCCCTCAGGTTTCCAATGGTTTCAGAGGATGTATGGACTCTATTGTGCTCAATGGGCAAGAGCTGCCTCTGAACAGCAAGCCGCGGAATTACGCRCACATGGAAGAGTCCGTAGACGTGGCTCCCGGGTGCTTGCTGACCACCACAGAAGGTTGCTCAAGCAGCCCGTGTCAGAACGGAGGCATCTGCAATGCACTGTCAAATGGAGGTAAGCTCTGCTGCGTTCTGTTCATTTTCTAAGCTGCTTTCCAACTTACTTGCCCTGGAGGGACAAAACCGTGCTGTGAATAAGCTTTCCGTTTCCAGAGAGTGGGGAGGCTGGTTATGAAGCAGGACTGTGCATGCCTGCTCTCCAGGCTCAGCTCTGTGGGCTCTGGAGCAGACAGTGCATGTCAGGAGAAAAAGAAAGAATGAAAAAAAAAAAACAGAAATTAATTCTTTGGTCTTAGCACCTGCAGACCATTCCCTTAGTGTTCTCACTGAAGACTGCTTAATGTCTTTCAACAAAAATTATGAAAACATTCTGMCAAGCTTGAGCTTTGTGAAAAAAATGGAAGTTATGCTTTGATCACACGTAAAGCTTTTCTTCCTTTGTCTTTTAATGAGATGTATCTATTTCTACCCAACCTCCCTCTCTTTAAACTGGTAGGTGGGCAGGGAGAAGTGTAGGAATTGTTTTTGTTTGTTTATTTCCCTTGTTTTTATTTCTGTTTGTTTTGTTTTCAACCAGTAAAGCCATGCAGGYCTTTCAAAAGAGTGTGTTTGATTTCAGGTTACTACTGCAAGTGTCCTCCTCTGTTTATGGGAACTCACTGTGATGTAAGTGTCAACCCATGTGCTTCCAACCCCTGCCTTTACGGTGGGACCTGCATCCCCGTCAGTGACGATTTTATCTGCCAGTGCCGGGGACAGTACACAGGCCAAAGGTAAGTGTTGCTCCGTGGACAAACCAGCACCTCGGAGCCTGGTCTCGAAGCGTAACGCTTCCCCTGTGTTACTTTTTCCTGTTTCCTGCTTTGGAACTTTGAATGTACCTACCGGAATGCTCTGAGGCGATAACATTATCACCTTGAACCCTGTACTACGTACTTACAGTAAGGTCATGGCTGATTTATCTTTTTTCTTTTTTTAAAACCTTTGCAGATGCCAGCTGGGTCCCTATTGCAAAGACAATCCTTGTAAAAACAGTGGCAAGTGTATTGACAGTTTGGATGGGCCTGTTTGCGAGTGTGAAGCAGGCTTCCGTGGAGAAAGGTGGGTAGTGGTACACAGAGATGGTGAATTTTCAACAGCATTATTTAACATTAGGAATCTGACGTGTCGATAAAGAGCAAATTGCCTAGTAACGTACAGCACAGCATATTAAAAACCAACTATTTAGGACTGCTAAGAACAGTAGTGCCCACTGCTGCTTGCTAACCAGCCRTGCTCTGCTCTGCTCCCGGCAGGTGCTTGGCCGACGTGGATGAGTGCGTGGAAAACCCRTGTCTTAACGGCGCCCTCTGCGAGAACACGTACGGCTCCTATCACTGCAACTGCAGCCACGGCTTTGGAGGGAAACACTGTACGGACATTGTTCTGAACAAATACGTTTCAACATCCTGGAACATTAGCTTAGCTGAAGTAATTGGAATTATCGTGTTCGTCGCAGGAATACTCCTGTTAGTTGGGATTTTTGTTATTTGCCGCAAAGTCATTAATAGAAGGAAGAAACAGCAGCCAGAGCCTGAAGACAAGCAACTGGGAGCTACAACAGCTTTCCTGCAAAGACCTTATTTTGATTCAAAACTGAATAAGAACATTTATTCTGACGTCCCACCGCAGGTTCCTGTCCGTCCCATTTCCTACACTCCGAGCATCCCAAGTGACTCCAGGAACAATCTGGACAGGAATTCCTTTGAGGGCTCTGCCATCCCTGAGCACCCAGARTTTAGTACTTTTAACCCAGACTCGGTGCATGGGCATCGAAAAGCTGTCGCTGTTTGCAGTGTGGCACCAAACCTGCCACCTCCACCCCCCTCCAACTCGCCTTCTGACAGCGATTCAATACAGAAGCCCAGCTGGGATTTCGACTATGACAGTAAGAAATGTTTTTATGCTGTTTTCTCCCTATTAACAGTGTATACATGTGGTATAATTCCAGGCTGAGTTCAAAGTCTGTCTGTTAGGTCAAAAAAGACCTTAGAGGGTTAAAAGGTTTTTGAGTCTGATCAGGCCTCATGCTCAGAAAATTTTGTCAGAATGTAGATTTGGGGGTTTATTGGCTCTTAAACCTAGAGTCGATTAATTGGTCCACTTGACACTTGCTGTTTTCTTTCTTTCAGCTAAAGTAGTAGATCTYGATCCCTGCCTTTCAAAAAAGCCTCTGGACGAAAAGACCTCGCATCCTTACAGCGCTCGCGAGAGCCTCTCGGAGGTGCAGTCCCTCAGCTCCTTCCAGTCGGAATCGTGTGATGACAACGGTAGGTAAAGCAGAGCTCCTCGGGCCCCTGCTTGCATTCAGATGGTCACACCTGCTGTATTTGCATCTATCTATGCATCATTGATATCAATAGCTGTTACATAAATCAAGTATATATTAAATAATATGTTATTAATATATTGATGTATTACTTCTATCAATATATATTAATAATAGCTTATTTAATATATATATGCATTTACTTACATAATACCAAAATCTATTACTTTCTTAAGTAAGTGTTTTGCCTGTCTTCTACCTCAAGTTAATTGCTCTGCCTTTACAATTACATGTCTTCACTTTTCTGTTAGAATTTTAACAATGAAAGTGCAGCACAAAGCGTGTGTAGTTGTTCAAAAGTATGTTCAGAGTCAGAATGTTCTTACAGGTTACCAGTAGTTATCAACTTATGGAGGAATACAGTCAATTTAAAATAACTAGCCTCTGCACAAATATAACTTGAGTTTGACTTTGAGCTGTCAGTAGGGCTTTCTGGTGTTACCGTTTCATTTGTTTCCTTTCTTTTCTCCCTCGCTGCGACCTCAGCTCCCATATGGATCAGATCAGTTCTGAGTGAGAGCAGAGTTTAAGGGACTGCTTGTAAGTTTGATTACGTGGGTAATGAAGGAAGTTGCACAAAAAGGAATTCTATTTTAKTAGAACAGTATATTTGGCTTTCACCATGATTAAGATGAATTCATACAGCATTTCATACACTGCAAAAAAGCCAATGTAAAAATAGGAATCTAAACATTTTGATGATGATCCTGGTCCATCAAAATCCATTCAGCATCCTTATTTACCTGATTCTTTTCATAAATTGGAAGGTTTTCATTTTTCCATTGTGATGACAGATGCTTTTATGGTTGATATGCATCTACTTGACTCAGAAACTTTTTGGATATTAAGACTAATTGGACAGAGTTACAGTTGCCTTGCAATTTAATCCACTAAGGTGCTTTGACACTATTCCAATTGCCACTTTTGCCTGTATATGGTAAAAAGGATTTGAAATTCCTGTAGTTTAGAAATAAAGAACGTTCTGCTTCTCACCAAAGCACGGTGGTTCGTTCTTTAATAGCATGAAAAGAAATGCCTGTGTTAATGATTGGTGAAAGTAAAATGGTTGCTTATAATTCTTGTCATTTTATCAATAGACTTGATGTCAACTCTCAACTTTTATTTTCCTGTGGTACTAAGTGTTGTGCGGTACATGTTGTCTCCTCTCCACCCCGTATACCTCATATACCCTTATTGTTATTTCTTGTCATGTACTGATCATAAAACGGGGAGAGGTGATGCAGAAAAACAGACACCAAAGTTAATATACTAAAGCACTACRTCAAGTTAATGAAGAAGTCAGTGACATGACTGGGAGGCTGATGGTCCTGACATGGAATTCTATCCTTAYGGCATGTGCAGCTTTCCAGGGGCTTCAGTGGAAGTTCCTCCCTGAGGCGCTGCTTTCCCTTCCTGCCTTTCTGATCACCACTCCTGCAACAGAGTACATGATACTTAGCTGCTGTTTCCCTAGATGATTCTGTAATATAACATCCTAGAAAACAACTGTAGCATCAGCGACAGTTCCTTCCTCCTTTCCATCCCTCGTTTTGGTAGATTCTGAAGTTTTTAATTTAAAATTTTACCCCTTAACCATGCAAATTGCTTGTTCTTACCTTATCCTATAAAAGTAAATCCTTCTCCCTTCCTGAAGTATGTTGGGAAGCAGAGAACATACAAAAAGTACATTAATTTGGGTTGCTTTTAAATAACAGTACTGCAACCTCAATTTAGCGTGCCATCATTCATAACTTGTTGAGTAAGTCAGTAAAATTCACACCTATTTTTAGCATRTACTTTTCATAGTATTTTAGTTGTGCTTTGGTGAAAGTTTCTTCCCCTGTTTTTTCATTGATTAAAACAACTAGCAGGTGAAAGAGGGCAGCCTGATGAGGTGCCCCACAGCTCCCCTGGCCTTTAGAAGAACAGAGTCCCTTGCTGTCGAGCTGCAGCCGCGGCGAGCCGCACGGGGAGGCCCCCTTGCACAAACCCCCATAAACTCAAGCCCATCTGTGCTTGGGCTTCCTTTGTTTCAGGAGCAGTGATCAGGACTGCTTTGCAATTCTATCATGAAGTCAGGGAGAGATGCATTTTACTTATTTTATACAATTGCTTTCTAGATAGGAAGTACCTATGTATATACACAGATGATCTTGCTTTGTAAAATAGTATTGAACTGCAATCTGCAATAGTTTTGTGTGCTTATATATGCTGTTTGAAGTGATACTAACGATAAGTTTTTTTAACATGCTCCTTTTATACCTTTTACAAGCTTCCATAGTGACTGTAATACACCTTGTCAATGCTGTTGTTGACTCGGTGGAAAAAGAAGGTATCTACATGTTTTCATCTTTATTTACTGCTCTGGCAGAATAATGATCATTTGTCTTCTAGTAATGTAGTCATAGAAGGTGGGAGTTATAAAGGGTTATTTGTGTAGACTTTCTGATAAATTTTACTGAAGTATATATTTAACCTGTATGTATATTCATATTTTGTGTGCTCTGTGACATCTACCTCAGGTTTCAAAGTGTGATTTAAAATTTAAAAATTGCTTAAAGAGAATATGTGCATAAAAAGAATACAACTATTCAGAAAACATTCACATAAGCTCCTCAGGCCCTGCTTTTCTGCATTTCTTAAGTAAGAGGAAGAAAACTGACTTTGTTAAAACTAAGTCCTACTTAAAGTCGCGTTAAGAACGTAACGGTGCTTATAGTAGCTGTGGATTCTCTTTGGTTTGCAGTTTGAAATACATCCTCTATAATGTTTGTAGACATAAAAGTAGGAGCAGACAAATGCAAAGACTTCTGATTACATGAAATATATATATATATATATGCAGCCCCTAGTCCTTGTTGCCAGAAAACCATAATGTACAGTACTTTAAGTCTTTTAATTTGGCCTTTTTGAGAAATATCCAATAACTTATGCAATTTTCTGAAGTTGACAAATGACTGAGGCAGCTCTTCAGACAAAATTAAAAGCTTTGTTCAGTGCTTTAGAATCTCTGTAAGATAACTATATGCAACTATTTTAGCTGTTTCAAAATATACATAAAGGACAGAGAGGCTAAGGATGTACCGCTGCACTGCTGCTGCCTATTCCATGCACAGGAAGCACTTCCCAAAGTATCTTTTTGCCCCCCAACCTGGTCCTGGTGTGAGCAGCAGGGCTGGTCGCTCGGCCCCGGCGCCGCTGGTCTCTTGCTCTCGTCTCCCCGAGGAGACYGGGGCTCTGGGGCTGGGCTGATCCCAGTGCATCCCAGAGCGGGCGGCAGCCGGACTCGCTCCTGCCGTCCCGCTCCCGGAATGAGGCCGCGGCGTTGGGGAACTCCGAGCACGCCGGGAAGGAGCAAGGGGCTGCGGGATCTGCTGCTGGGTTTAGGCTGAGCTGCTTCGCCTCCAAGCAGAGGCCCTGCCAACAGCTGCCCCTTTCTGGGCAAAAAGGCTGTAAAAAGCCAGGCTACCCTCTCTGCCCTGTTACTTCTGCTTTTTGCTGACCAGTTTCCCCAGAAAAATGCATAGTTCTGCTTTCCAAGCAGGCTTGTGGTTAAGAAACTGCCCTAGAGGTGAGACCAGAGATGTTTTAACAATCTGAAATCGTAGAGACTAAAGGATAGATATTTCCATGAGTATGGACAGGATTTTTTATTGGCTGGCTAGGTAAGCAGAAAAAAAGAAAAAAGTGGAGTCACCCCTGACTCTGTGCAGTCTTCTGAAAATAGATAAGAGCATCAAATCTTAGGAGAAGGTGCTGGGATTAGGATGAGCTTGTCTCCATAAATCCCTGCAAGGAGAAACAAGAAAGGTGCAAGGTTGATCAAACAACAGGGCAGTGCTCTGCTGAGCCAGGGTGCTCTGCTGAGGCAGCTGGGGCTCCTAAAGCCACTTCCCAAGTGCTGAGACACCAGAAAYGCTACTAGGTTCAGCCCGCCGTAGAAAACCAAGGGGCTGCAAGCAAAGAGAACAGCCAGAGCCAGGCCTGTCAAAGCTTCTTAACAGAACTAAGGCCTGAAACTCACTGAAATGGGGACTTGAGCCCTCTACGGCCTGGAGGTTTCGCCACCCCCACCGTTAATGGGGGTCACTCTCCCTGCTCCAGTTCAAGCCTAACAAGGAAGGAGCCCAGGAGAAGGGGAGGGCCCCCTCAGCAGTGCCAAAGCCCACAGTGAGGCCGCAGGCTGCCAAAGGCAGCCAGAAGCAGCCCCTGTGTCAGGGACAGGATGTTTGTCTTCACCGCGGTTCTCCTGTTTGAGTCCTAACTACAACATTTTTCTCCCTTTCTTTTTTCTTCTCATTCTGCCACCTAAAGAATCTTTTGCTGTTCCTGACCTCAGCAATTCAAGAGGTGACTTCTGCATGCGGTTCATTGATAATCACCAAAATATTTCTGCTAATACTTGGTTTTAACACAGACTTACTACAAATGGTTTGCTGTGCATTTGTGTGCAGTGATTCTGCTTTACTGTTTGTTTGTGCCACGCCTGTATTTTCCTTGTAGCAAGTAAAACCAAGGTGTTTTTGAGAAGCTTAGGCTTCCATTCAGTGACAAGTAGAGCAGCAAGGACTTACTCTAGGGAAGTCTGTAAAAACCAGGCAGGTTCTGTCATCTATGCATGATTACGCTCCATTTTGCTCTTTGTTGTATCTGAATGCGGAATGTCTTTACTAATAAGTCAATGAGTTGGTCTGGGTAGGGAAGCCTTGYGAGATGCCAGCTACGGAGAGCTAAGCGTGGTTTGTGACGTTAATGTCGCCCATTAGCTAAGTGGTAGCATCACTTTAAAYATTCTAGATAGCTGCCAGAGGAGACCCTGCTTCTTAGGGGGAGGAGGAGTAAGGTTCATGGCTGTTTCATATATTCTTAAGAAAAGGCAGCTGGTGTTGCCCTAACTGTAATTACTCAGTAACTGAGTGTAAGAGTTCAGCTGCGTGGGGGAAGCTGATCCTTGCTACCCAGGGCCAGTCCTGTACCGTTAGGTATTGCCACAGCACGTGCCATAGGTGGCCCACAGCTCCTCCCCTGCTAGCTGAGATGGCTGGAAAAACCACAGGAGTTGCAGTGTGAATGACGCAGTGTCTAACGCATGGCCTGGCGTGCAGTTGTGTTGTGGGGAATGTCCTCTGTGGAACCGGGACAAATTGCACCCTAATTAACAAGTCGTGTCCTAATCACAGGCGATTGCTTTGTCTTAAAACATGTGTTGACTTCTTAGCTCAGCTTGGTGAGAGGACACGCTGCTAATACTACTTTTCTTTTTTTAAAAAAAAATCATCTTTCAGGTTATCACTGGGATACATCAGACTGGATGCCAAGCGTCCAACTGCCAGGTATCCAGGAGTATCCAAACTACGAGGTGGTTGAGGAGGCAGCTCCCCTCTACACCGACCCAAACGCCCTCGATACGGACTATTACCCCGGCGGTTACGACATCGAGAGCGACTTCCCGCCCCCRCCCGACGACTTCCCCGCTCCCGACGAGCTCCCGCCCTTGCCCCCCGAATACAGCGACCAGTTTGAGTCCATCCAGCCGCCCAGAGACATGCCGGCCGCGGGGAGCCTCGCGTCCTCCACGAGGAGCAGGCAGAGGTTCCACCTCAACCAGTACCTGCCCCACCACTACCCCGCGGACATGTCGGAGCCGCAGAGCGCGAGCGGCGCCTACCGAGAACCTTTCGCTGCTCCCTACGCGCCGGGCTACGGCAGGGAGCTGGAGGCGCCCGCCGCCGACAGCGTCTCCGTGTCCGCCTACGCCTCCACGGCGTCCTGCTCCGACGTGTCAGCCTGCTGCGAGATGGAGTCCGAGGTCATGATGAGTGACTATGAGAGCGGAGACGACGGGCATTTCGAAGACGTGAAAATCCCTCCGCTCGATTCCCAGCAACATACGGAAGTCTGACACTCACACGCAACAAAAGTGCCTGGACTTAACGAACTCTCTCAATGCTAGAACAACCTTCAAGAGCTTTTCTTATTTCCTTCCTTTGGTTTTTTTTTTTCCTCTCCAGCCACAGCGAATGCTAAACTGCCCTGGCTGCACTGGGTCATGCAGCTCCTTTCACTAAATCAGCCTATTTCCAGGTGCTGACCTACTGTAATTGGAGAGCACCAACATTTCCATTGGCTGTGCCATTTCTCATCATGTCTTTTGTACTTACATTGTCTATGTTAAAAGAAACACATACACCTTCTCCATGTTTGCATGATGCATATATTTATATAGTTCTAATGCAAATATAATTTTCTCCTACTTTTTGTAAATGTTATGTACAGTTTGATTTTAATAGTTTTAACTAGATTTTTGTAGATATTTTGTGAATTTGTTTTCCACTGAAATTAGTGGTGTTAGTGTGCCATTAAAGACTTGCACCCTGACTTACTATAATCAGGGCATCACTGTATGTATTCCTCCCTCTCCAAAACTAAGGTTGGACATTTCATTATGAAGCAGAAATCAACTATCTACACAATTCCAATTGTACATAGGGTAGGTCTGATATTTTTCTGGGTCAGCTATATGGAAATGTCTTAAATGGGTTGCTGTATTTGAGAACTGTAAACATTTTTTTCCCTTCCTGGAAAGTGTGTTGAGGACCCTCTGCATACCAGTTCAGAACCAAAACCACCCTGACACAGTTTTTATAGTGTCTGTATATTTGTGATCCAATGGTCTTGTAAAGGTTTTTACTGAAAACTACCATTAGCCAGTCTTTCTTACTGACAATAAATTATTAATAAAAGCCTTTAGCTTGGCTCTGTGTCTCTGTCCCGGGTGCTACAGGCGAGGACACCTGCAGCGCAGCGTTTCCGGGCGCACTGGGCGCGCGGCGCCCGCCTCGCGCGGCGCGGCCCGGCCGCACGTGCTCACTAGATGGCAGCGTGTGTCTGCTTTGCAGCGGGCAGCGCGGCCACCTTGAACAGACATGGACGGGTAGCAAACCTCAGCAGCCTTCCCAAGAGCTTGCAGTTTTCTTTAAACGTGTAACCCAGCTCTCTAAAGGGCTGAGGGGTTGTTCCAAAGTCCCCCTAGAAAAGACAGCTTTGAAAGCCATTCATTTGGAAAAGTAATTTTTCTTTCTTCATCACCCAAGCAGTGATTTTCACGAATATTTGCCCTCATTGTACACTTTTCTGCTGAAATGCCTGTGATTATTTTTGAGGTGATTATATTTCAATTGCAGTTTCTTGCCCTGACCTGAATTTCTAGGGTGAACTTCAAGTCAGACCCAGACCCAGTTTGCCTGGATGCTGCTCAGCTATTTTCCCAATTAGACCAGAGCAAAGCCGCAGAGTTTTATAATCTAAAATTCTTACACTGAAGGAGTGGGACAGATAGACGCCCCCTTACCTCCTGCACGTGAAGGATGGGCTGCAGTTCTGAAGAGGTCCCCAGCAGCTCTGTGTCTTTCTCATTTCAAACCCACATCCCTTTCTTTTCTKACTGTCTCAGAAAACTCCATAGCCTGGAAAGATTTTTTWAAAAAGTAAAAAATGAGATTTTTCAGGCGTGAGAATCAATTTAACAGAGGCCAGCATCATTTTTCAACTGGAATGACTCATGGTAAAGGTATTTGCAGAGAAGACTTATCTTTCTTCATCATACTTGTAAAGCAGTAACTTAAGGTGAATGTGGACCTGAGTTAAAACAATGGAATGAGATTCAAGTCTCATTTTTTTAGCAGGGCAAGATATTTTTCTGCTTACTCCCAGTTCTTCAGTAGTTTTGACCATATCATTAGYAGGGAACACACAGCAACAACATGGAAGTGCACTGGAAACGATGCATCTAGGAGGCAGTTCAGCTATATTGYGACTAGGACAGAGTTTCCTGCCTGAGAAAGACTAATCCGCGCATTGCTCTGCACAGACCAAGCTGGCTCACGAGTTACCTTATCTGCAAGGAGCAGAGCACCCTTTCCCCAGCCCCCAGAAGGGTGCTGCTCAGCAGCACCCCGGCTACGCTCTGCAGCGGACACCACGAAGGCGCCTGCCCAACAACCGGGCAGCGTCTGTGAGAGCGCCAGGCAGCTCCAGGCTGCAGCAGCGGGGCCCGAGCCCCAGCGCCCAGAGCGGCCCGGCCTGTTCAACAGGCCCTGCGCTGCAGAGCGGGCGCCGCCGCGGCCCCCACGGGYGCCTTGGAGCCTCCCCCTGCCCCCAGGAGCCGCCGCATCCGCCCGCGCCGGCCGATGCTTCCCGGGCCGTGAGGACACTGGTAAGAAATGACCAGCAGTGGCTGAGAGGGATCCAACAGCGCCGACCACGCAATGGGATCTGGGAGGCAAACGCTGCACGCAGGTAACACCCTGCACTGCAGTCACCTGGCCAGGTCCTCCGAGCTGCTGCAAAACTAGGAGCACTTGGAAAAAGCTGTTTTCCTTAACTGCCCTTATGCAGACACCGGKGTCACAGGTAAAGCACTTTTCCCAAGCTGGCATAGGTGGAACTGGCAGCAGGAAGGTGCAGATGTAAACATGTGGATCCCACATTTTGTCTCCTGGGCTTCCCCACTTGCCTTGCTCTGGACTGCTAACCATCAGGACAGAAGACTAGATCAAGGAAAGAAGTTCCTTGTACCTTAATTCCTAGTGGTTGATACCACTTTACTAACCTGCCTTGGGGTCAGATGAGTTGCTGCTCTAATTACACAGAAGGCAAACGAGGAACAAGTAGGATCCCTCTTTTAGTAGCCATTGAATTAGCTTAACTCCATCAAAGCACATCCTCRCTCTGTCCCCTTGTCCAGACTTGCTGCCACATGCAGCCTAGTTCCTGCCCATAGTTTCAGCCCCCATTATAGTGGGGGTAGGAGAGGAAAGGGGAAGATCTCYTCCCATCTGCTTTCTAAGGCTCTCAGCTGACTCGGTAGCCCCATGGAAGTTCTGCATCCCATGCTGCCTTCCAATGCTCCTGCCAGGTCCTGGCGGAGGCAATCCTAGAGGTCCTACATCCACATTTGGGAATGTACCCCCTGAGGACACTGCAAGGTTCACTACCTGCCCCATTCCCATCTTATGCTTCCCGGTATAAGGGAAATCTAAAAAAAAAAAAAATTAAAAACTACAAAACTTTGAATTGTTTCAGCACAGTTGCCTGCCATACACTGTTCCTATCCAGAACTGATATTTAAGCCCTGGTTTACTGAGAGAGACACTATCCATACCACACTTTGCAGCAGAGCCTGAAAGTCAAACTTTGCAAGACATGAAGCACATCTGGAGCRAAGAGTAAAAATGCAGATTGCCACCGATAACCGTGTGCGTAAAATCCACAACACTGCAAAATTCTACATATATCCACAAATATCCACAATATTCCCAAATTAACTCTTGTACAACACATTAATGGTATAGAAGTGCCAGAACACAGGCAGATGTTTCCATTTAATAACTAAAACTAGTTATTTTTCCCCACAGAACCTTTGCATTCCCCACATGCCTGTGCCCTATGAGACTGGTACAACGTATTCAAGCAAGYGCATTGCAAGACATACCTATGGTGCCACGATGAGCACTGAGGCAGTGAGGCTAAACAGGCTCTAAGCAAGAGCAGAAATTGCCTCTTCCTACCCGCTCAGTGTCACGCTGAGGTCCTGCTTTGCCCTTTAGAGATCCCTGGGGGAAGCTTCAGGAGGGTCAGGCTCTGGTTTGCCCGGTCAAGCTGATGTGCTGCAGAGCAGTGGAACCCACAGCGGGGTGGACAGGAAGGCGGCTGCACCAGCAGCAGCACAAAGTCCAGCTGCCCACTCACTGTCTCCCCTGCACAGAAYTGTTCTGGGCCCTCCTGTTTAAGATCTTGATTAATGACTATTCTTGATGGGCTGGAGAAACAGGCCTGCAGGGACCTCATGCAGCTCAAAGAAGAGGAGCGCAAAGCCCTGCACAAGGGAGCAATAACCCCAGCCCCAGCTGGAAGGCAAAATTGCAGAGAAGAGCCTGGTGGACAAGGTGACCATGCCAACAAGGCAAAGAAGGGCTTTGGCAAAGGGCACCCCAGGCTGCTCAAGGAGCAGGGCCGCACACCCAGGCAGGTGGCAGCACARGAGACCCGCACCCAGGGGCCACAACCCTGGGAACTGCTCAGGATTTCGCATTGAGCAGCTCCGCGCCGAGCAGGAGCGGCTGCTATTCCCGGTAGCAAAGCCTTTGCCCGAGGATCCCTGCACATCAGAGCAGAGCTGCTCGGCGCGGGCAGCCACGAGGTAGGCGCTTACGGGGCTTTTTATAGCGCTCGCCAGTTTTTAGGATCAAACGGCTTTCAAGCCCACACAATCCTTCATAAAAATACTAAAGGGATGGAGAAGTCCCCATTAAAGCAAGCGAGCTGAAACAGGCTGGTTCTTAGCAGCTCTGCTCTTCCTTCTGCAGCTGGAGACGAATAAAAAAATCAGAGCGGCGCAGTTTTATATGCAGCATAGCTGCAGAGAAGGAAAATTAGGTCTCTGCTTTGGTCTTGGGTACTGAGGGGGAGAGAATTTTAAGAGAAAGGCTGTCGGAATCACTTGCTCCTCAGGCGACACCAACAAATCCCTGAACTTCCTGATAATCAGAAGCTAATGGGATATCAGCGCCCATTTGCTAGCTCTGGTCTTCAAAACCCTTCTAATTGTAGCGCCCCGTTAATAAACCCTCAACACACACAAAAATGAGGCCTTTGCAGTCACAGGAGCCAAGAGGGAATAACAGGAAGGATGTGAGATGACGAACATTAGAACAAGAGGCAAGTTTTCCTGCAGCAGGGCACCCGAGCCGGGCCCCGTTTCACCCAGGGCCCCTCCAGGCCTTGTGCTGCAGCTGCTCAGCCCTCAGTTCCCCGGGATCCCCACACGTGTGGGGTAAGCGCACGCAAACGTCTCACGTTTAAATAATGAGTGTTTGCCAGTSACCACCCACAAAGAGAGCAAGAAAACTACCCGGGTTTTACACAGCACCACACACCAGATCATAGCGGGGAAAATCTGACTTGGGGGTTTGCTGGGAGAAAAAAAAAGGTAAAAAAGCACTAGATACAGAGAATCAGGTTAAAAATCACTAGTCTGATAAGCGACTCAGTGCTACTCAGTGTGGGTTAAGGGTCCAGTTTACCGGGCACAAACTTCTTGAGGGTGCCAGTCTAAACAGATAGTACATAACATCTGAGGCTTCTCTGCAAGAACATCCCCAACTTTCATGAAATACAGGGTTTTTTGGACCAAATAATCTGACATGCACTAAGGAGCCCCTCAAACATGAACTCAAATATTAGGAATCTCAAGAGAATAAGTTGAAGTTTGGGTTTTACACAACAAGCTTAACACTACAACTAGAAAGACTATTATAAGTGTGTCTAGTTGGTTTTGACTGACAAATACTGTTCGACTCAATAAGACAGAAGAACTAAAATATTTCAAAAACAACAATTTCTTAAAAAACTATTCCTAGAATTAAGTGCAACATTGGCTATCAGTTTCCCCACAAATCCTTTACCAAGGCAGAAAAAGCTGATGAATAAGTAGTTTTATTTCTGATTGCATCAGGAACCAGCTAACATTTCTGCACCGATGACTAGGAAAGCAACCCTAAGCAAACGATTCACAGGACTGAGCTATCCACCTTTTCCACAAAGATCCAGGAGCAGCAAGGAGAGCAAGGGGCAAAGAGAAGCAGGATAAAGTCCAGCTTTCCTGAGCTCTAG